GAGGAGGAGGAGGAAGAGAAGAAAAGCTGTGTGTTTGCTCGGGGGCGGGCGTCTGGGAGGCGACGGGGCTGGGGCCGGGGCCCGGGCCGCGCAATGGGCCGAAGCCAAGGCCGGGGGGCTAAGGCCGTGGCCAGCGGGACCGGGGGGCCAGGGCTGGAGCTGGGGCCAAGGCCAGGGCTGGGGGTTAGAGCCAGAGCCAGGCCGGGCCAGGAACGGGGCTTGAACGGGAGCCAAGGCGGGGGCAGGGAGACCACCACTTTTGCTGCGTTCTGAGGCTTTTCTTGGCCGCCGAACCGCACGAGGGGGAATCGCATCTGCCCCGGGACCCCCCGGACCCATCTCCGGGACCCCCCTTGGCCCCCCCCGTGCGGACCCCGTCCCCCCTTGAGGGATCAAAGTGAAAGGGGTTTCCCTTCGACTCAAGCACAACACTGCTAAACTACGGGTCGAAAGGAACAGCCTCTTCCACACGCCGACAGGGTCGGCGGATGACGGGAAGCGTCTTCGAGGAACGAGAAGCGAGCTGGACGTTTTGGCTGAATCCTCCTCATATCAGTAAGAGATCTATTAACTATAGGGGTGGCGGGGCGCATGGTATACAGGCTTAGCGGATTCCTCGGGATGGCGATTTCGCGTGAGACATCCTTACAAAAATGAGATCTTCGCGACATCGCGTTTACCAAAAACAAGCGTTTCGCTCGAAACATCCTCGAACAGTTGGTGACAGCGAAGTTTCGCCGTCTGTGAACATTTGCGTTTCGCTTGGGACATCCTCGAAAAAATGAAATGACGACTGAAGTCTTTAACTAACTCTTATGTTACGAATTGCGATTTCGCTAGGGACATCCTCAGAAAACGAGCGGCAGCACGGCGGACCAGAACGAAGAGCACGGCAGAACAATTGCATTTCGCTAGGGACAATCCTCAACAAAATGAGATGTTTTCAACGTCGTCTTGATATCGTTTTCGAAGTACCTCAAGATGACGAAATGAGAGGCCAAAAAGCACGTCAAGATGGCTGTCAGAACGATTGGGGGATTTCCGAAAATAGCGATTTCGCTAGGGGCATCCTCAAAAAGTGAACACATACACCAGCATCGACTTGAAAACTGATGTTCTTACATAGTTTTGACATTGCTTCTGAAAAGGCTTCCAGACGGCCCAAGGCAGCCTTCAAAAAATTACGATTTCGGTAGGGACATCCTCAAACAATTGATGCGTGCGACATCGCATCGTAATGATTTTAGGAGGGCATCAGGAAGCAAAAGGAGGCCACAACATGGCTCCAAGAGCGCCCTGAAGGTTGCTGAAAATAGTGATTTCGCTAGGGACATCTTCAAACAAAAAACAAATCGAGCACCATCGTTTTGAAAACTGCTGTTTGAACATCGTCTGGGGATCGCTCCTGAAAAGGCTTCTAGATGGTTTAAGCCAGTCATCTAAAAATGACGATTTCGCTAGGGACATCCTGAACAAATGAATGTGTGTAACATCGGACTGTAACGGTTTTGTAAGGCATCAGGAAGGCCCCCAACGGCCCCAAACAAGCCCAAATCTGACCCCCAGGAGCGCCTTCGAGGCGATCCAAAATGGCGATTTCGCCTAAGACATCCTTACAAGCATGACATGTTCACAACATCGATTTCATCAAAAATGAGCGTTTCGCCTGAGACATCCCTTAAACATGGGAAGCTGCGAATTCGACAGATGTTCAAAAACTAGCGTCTCGCCTGAGACATGTTAACAAAACTGATATCTTGGAGTGGCGCTGTTACTATCTCTCGTGTTAGAAATCGCGCTCCCGTTGCATACATCCTCAAAACAATCGGGCGGAGCATGGTCGGCGAAACACGAGCAAGGCAACGAATGAGCAGTTCTGCCGTGCTCCTTCGCTCACGGGGTCTATTCTGCAATGCTCCTTGTTTTTTTGTGCCGTGCTCCGTCGCTCTTCGGGCTTATTCTGCCATGCTCCTGGCAATTTTTTGTCACAATCCTTTGTTCTTGGGGCTTATGATGCTGTGCTCCTGGTCGTTTTCTGCCGTGTTCCTTAGCTCTTGGGGCATATTCTGCCGTGCTCCTTCGCTTTCGGTGTTTATTCTGCCGTGCTCCTTGTCTGTTTCTTGCATATTCCTTCCTTGGGGCGTATTATGCCGTATTATTGCATCTATCTTGCCGTGCTCCTTAGTTCTTGCGGTCTATTCTGCCATGCTCCTGGTCATTGGCCGCGTTTTGCAATGTTCCGTCTTTCCTGGCGCCTATTCTGCCGTGCTCCTCAGCTCTTGGGGTCTATTCTGTCGTGCTCCTGTTCTTTTTCCTGTCATGCTCCTTCGCTCCTGGGGCCTCATTTGCCGTGCTCCTTCGCTCTTGGGGTCTATCCAAAGCCGAACGAGAGGACCTTCTTCCTGTCATGCTCCTTCTCTCCTCTGCCGCAAGCGTCTCGCATTTCTGCCGTGCTCCTTCCTTTTTGGGGTCTATCTGCCGTTCTCTTTAGCGCTTGGGGTATACTCTGCCGTCTGGTTTTCTTCTGCCGTACTCCTTCGCTCTTCGGGCCTGTTCTGCCGTGCTCCTGGTGTTTTTCTGCCGTCCTCCTTAGCTCTTGGGGTCTACTCTGCCGTGCTCCTGGTCTTTTTGTTGGCCGTTCTCCTTCGCTCTTCGGGCCTCGTCTGCCGTGCTCCTTAGCTCTTAGGGTCTATTCTGCCGTGCTCCTGTTGTTTTCTGCCGTGTTCCTTCGCTCTTGGGGCCTCTTCTGCCGTGCTCCTCAGCTCTTGGGGTCTAGTATGCCGTGCTCCTGTTTTTTTTTCTGCAGTGCTCCTTCGCTCATGGGGCCTATTTTGCCGTGCGCCTGGTCTTTTTCTGCCGTGCTCTTTAGCTCTGGTGTCTATTCTGCCGTGTTTCTGGTCTTTTTCTGCCGTGCCCCTGAGCTCTGGGGATCTATTCTGCCGTGCTCCTGGTCTTTTTCTGGTTTGCTCCTTCGCTCTTCGGGCTTATTCTGCCGTGCTCCTGGTCTTTTCTGTCGTTCTCCTTGGCTCCTCGGGCCTTTTCTGCTGTTTTCGGTCTTTTCTGCCGTCGTCCTTAGCTCTTGGGGCATCTTCTGCTGTGCTCCTGGTCTTTTTCTGGCGTCTTTTTCGCTCTTGGGGCCGATTATGCCGTGCTCCTTAGCTCTTGGGGTCTATTCTGCCGTGCTCCTGGTCTTTTTCTGCAGTGCTCGGCAGCTCTTGGAGTCTATTCTGCCATGCTCCTGGTTTGTTGCCGATGTGCTCCTTCGCTCATGGGGCCTATTTTGCTGTGCTCCTGGTCTTTGCCTGCCGTGCTCCTGATCATTTTCTGCCGTGCTCCTTCGCACTCGGGGCATATTCTGCCGTGTTCCTTGTCTCTTGGGTTCTATTCTGCTGTGCTCCTCGTCTTTTTCTGGTTTGCTCCTTCGCTCTTGGGGTCTATTTTCCCGCACTCCTTCAGCTCTCGGGGTCTACTCTGGCGTGCTTCTGTTGTTTTCTGCCGTGCTCCTTCGCTCTTGGGGCCTATTCTGCCGTGCTCCTGGTCATTCTCTGCCGTGCTCCTTAGCTTTTGGGGTCTATCCTGCCGTGCTCCTGGTCTTTCTTTGCCGTACTCCTTCGCACTTAAGGCATATCCAGCCCTGCTCCTTAGCTCCTGGGGTCTATTCTGCCGTGCTCCTGGTCTTTTTCTGCCGTGCTCCTTCGCTCTTGGGGCCTAATCTGCTGCGCTCCTGGTCTTTTTCTGTCTGCTCCTTAGCTCTTGAGGTCTAGTCTGCCGTGCTCCTGGTCATTTTCTGCCGTGCTCCTTAGCTTTTGGGGTGTATTCTGCCGTACTCATTTGCTCTTGGGGTCTATTCTGCCGTGTTCCTTGTCTTTCTTTGCCGTGCTCCTTCGCTCTTGGGGGCTGATTCTGCCGTGCTCCTGATCTTCTTCTGCCGTGTGCGCCCAGAAGCTCTGCCAAAACGACCACCGCGACGATCCGCACGGCAGATACAGGAACACGGCAGAACACACAGAGCACACAGAGGCACGGCAGAACACAGAAGCACGGCAGAACAGGAGCACGGCAGAACACACAGGAGAACAGCAAAACACACCCCGCACGCACGCCGACACGCGCGCCACGGCATACCTGCGCGGCATAACAACAACAGAGCATTTTCCACATGCTTGGTGGACTAAAGCGACGCTTCCCGTTCTTGTCCGGTCAGGTTTCTGAACATTTCGTCGTGTTTTTTTTCTGTCTCTTTCCACCCCAGTCCTCCTTTCCTTACTGCCCATCCAGCTTCCCCCCATCGTTTCCCCTCCCCCTCCCCCTGCCCTCGCATCTCTTCCCCTTTCTCCTTTTTCGTTATCCTTCTCCCCGCCCTCTCGCACCTCCGGCCCCTCGTCTTGCTTCTGCCCTTCCTCGCTTCGCTCTCTTCCAGCACCCCCACCTGCTGCTCCTCCCCACCACCACCAACGCCACCCTCCCGCTCCAGCTGCCACGCCGACTCGGAGTCAGAGGCCAAATCCGAGGCGGCCCGTGGACACTGCATGCCACCGCGCCAGTTCGAAGCGCCCCTTCGCCCATAGCTCGAAGCGCTGTGCGGGCCCCATCCAGATCCTTTTTCGATGGCCTTGGCGAGGTTGGGGGAGAGGGTGCAAGGCACGAGGGTGCAAGCCCGATTTGTCTTGCTGATTCTCGGTGGGGGCCTGTGCTCAGGGAAGGCTGCAGCCCCGCTTAACGATGTGCTGTTTAACCGAATCTGCAGGGTGTGTCCTTTCCCCTGCTAGGTTCTGCTGCCGCTCCTCGTCCTCCTCCTCCTGCTCGTTTTTTTCCATCCGTGGCGTGCAGTCTAGCCCAACAAGGGCCCCGGCGCATGCAGACAGCAGCCTTGTGGAGTCTCGCATCGCACGCTGACGGGGATCCCTGTCGCCTCGCTTTTTGACAGCGCGTGTTGGCAGCGCGGCCTCTCTTTTGCCTCTGGCGCACGAGCCCCCGTGGTCGCACACCTCCCCGCACAGGTGACCGAGCACCAGATGAACGCGTACCTCTTTCGGGAGGCCCTGCCGGGGCGCCCCCCCCGCACTGTCACGCGCGCTGCCTGCTGCTTCGGTGGGCCTCCCGCGGCGTTGCGGCGCCTCCGCCTCAGAGGGGGGGGGGCGAGTGGGGGTAGCTACAGGCGGCCTTCGGGGGCCTCGCCTCTCGGAGCCTCCTTTGGGCCTCCTCGGGGGCCGCCTGGAGCTCCTGCGGGGCCTCCTGGGGGGGCCTGCGCGGGGTCCTCGTGGGGCGGAAGGCGCGAAGTATCGGCTCGCGCTGCCCCTGTGGAGCGGGGACCCCTCGTCGCCACGGCTGGGCGCAGCTCGGAAATCGGGTGCGCTTGAAGCCCGGGAGGGCTCCAAGCGCCCGCGTTCGCCGTCGTCGTCGTCGTCGTCGTCGTCGCCGTCGTCGCCGTGGCCGTGGCCGTGTCCGTGGCCGTGGCCGTGGCCGTGGCCGTGGCCGTGGCCGTGGCCGTGGACGTCGTCGACGTCGTCGACGTCGTCGCCGTCGTCGCCGTCGTCGTCGTCGTCGTCGTCGTCGGGGGCGGAGTTCGGAGCTGCCGTTGCCTGAAAGCTCGCCCCGCTCCGGAACCGCCGCAGGTGAGCACGCAATTCCGGATGGACCACCCGAACATCATCAAGCTGTTCTATTGGTTCGAGGCGCGGGCCAGCCCGTGGTGCATTCATCTCACTGCATACTAAACTCTGGGTCCGAGTGGATGAGGTCGGAGGATCGGGCCGCATCGCTGATGCATCGGCGATGCGGCTCGAAGTGGAGCCTGGTCTTCTGCCCGTGGAAGTCGCCGCTGCATCGCCGGCGTCGATGCATCGCCAATGTATCGGCGATATGGCGAGATCCACCGACCACTATTTGCTCTGACCCGATTTGGGAGGACTCTAACCAAACCGCCCCAACCCAACCCGTAGATCCAAGACCCCCCCGAAAATTCGGGCCAACGGAGATTTCGGGTTGGGCTGGGGTGGCTTGGTGAGTAGCCAGCATTGCCACCGCCTGGGGGACCAATATTCGGGGACGTCTCGAAGAACAACAAAAGCAGCATACGCATAATTTCTCGCAGCTCCGCGCGGATTCTTTGGATCGGCGTTGGGACCCCTGGCGGTGGCTCCGGCGCCGCCCCTGGCGCGCTCGAGGCGCCAGGGATGGGGGTACAGAGCCGATCCGATCCGATGACTCCGCGCGGACCTCCTGACGTTTATGTTTGTGTCCGTTTTCTGTTTCTCCAGGTCCGTGGCGGGGATGCACCCATCACAATCGCCCGGGGGATGGATATGCGGGGACCTCGGCAGGCAGTGGACACGGATTTGTGCGGGCCTGGGGGGTGGCCGAACATCTCCATCTCCTCCGCCTGCCGACGTCCCCGACTACAGATTTCCCAGGCTGTGGGGATGGATTCATCCCGGTCTCGCAGGCAGGGCGGGGGAGGGTGCCGGGGCCATGGCATCTCCCCAGATTTCAAGGCGCTTCTGCTTGTTCTGATGCGTCCCTCCTCTCGGACCGCGCACGTGCTTTTGGCCATTATCTGCGAGCCCCCCTCTCGGGCGCCCCCCCCCTCGGGCGGCGCGCTCCCGAGCGGCTGAGGCTGGAGAGGCCAGCCGGCGGAGCCTGCCGGGCGGCGCGGCGCGGCGCCCGCCGCCAGGATGCCAGCTACGTGTCGTTGCTGCTCGAGGCGGGGAGCGGCGCCCCTTCGCTGGCGTCGGCGGGCGGCGGTGGAGCCGCCGGAACCTGGGCTGGATGCGGCGATGCATCCACGATGCGTCGCCGATGCATTGTCGGTGCGGCACGACTCCGACCCCATTTGCTTGGACTCAGTTCAGGAGGCCTCTGTCAAGCGATGGGGGTCAATGCAAGCGGGGGTCAGCCAGAACCGTGAATCTTGCAGGATTTTGCACAGCCAGGGGTGCACTGACCCCGGTCAGCGCGCAGGATCCTGCAAAGCCTGACTGACCCGTGTTTGCACTGACCCGGGCCATCGCGTCCCCGAGGTTTTGTTCGGTGGCAAATCATGAGAGCTTTGTGTACCGTCGCAATTTCGTCTTTCGAGTGCGTGTGCCGTCGATTGGCGCCTGGTAGTCGATGAGATATCGCCTATTTAGCATCGATTAGCTTCGATTCGCCTCGATTGGCGTCGATTCGGCGCTGGTTAGCCTCGATTAACCTCGACCAGCGTCGATTCGCAAGAGCTATCGAGATGGTGTGGGAGGCTCCCATGAGTTGCCACCGGAAGTTCGATGCGTACATCCGCCTGCGTTGCTGCATGTACCCGCCACGTCACTGCAGGGCGTGCCCTCGCGAAGCAGCGAAGCCGTCTCGCGCGCACTCGCTGCCCTCCTCCTCGGAGCCGCGCTCGTCGCCCCCTCCCCCCCCCGAGGCGCGAGCACCTGGCGCCTCCGGCGCACCTGGCACACCCAGCGCACCCTCGGGCCACACCGTTCGCCCTCCTCCTCACTCTCTCTCGTGGCTTCCCGATCAAGAGGCTCTGAGTCCTGGGCCACGGCCCTTCGCACAGGCCGCCAGCCGGGACGCCTCCCCTCCGGGCGGGACGCCTCCGCGCATCCGCTCCGCTCCGCTCCGCTCCTGTGGCTTCCCCTGCCCCCGCCCCACCCTTTTTTTCGTCCTCTCCTGGCGGGCAGGTGCACGGCGTGAATCATGGCTACGTAGCACCCCGCAATTGCGGATGAGAGTGAGGGGGCGGGCGCGGGCGACGCGGGCGTCGTCAAGCCGGCGGACCTCGTGGCCCCTACCTTCCTTGTCGATGGCGCTCTCCTCCTCCTCCGCCTCCTCCTCCTCCTCCTCTTCCTCGTCCTCGTCCTCATCGTCATCGTCGTCCTCCTCCTCCACCTCCTCCTCCTCCTCCTCTTCTTCCTCGTCCTCCCTCTCTCCCCCTCGTCCTTCCATCATCGCCCTCCCATTGTCGTCATGTTCCGCCTCGTCGTCTTCCTCCTCTCCCCCCCTTCCCGATCCTCCCCCCTCCTCCTTTTCGTCGTCGTCGTCGCCGTCGTCGTCGTCGTCGTCGTCGTCGTCGACGTCGTCGTCGTCGTCGTCCCCTTCCTCCTCCTCCTCCTCCTCCTTCTCCTCCTCCTCCTCCTGCAAAAGCAGCCGGCCGCAGGCGCCGAAACATGTGGTTTGTACACTGAACGTGGTTTGGGTCGCGGGTGGGCCGCGGGTTCTCCACCTAGAACGAATGCAGAAGATGCCCGTCGCAGGCGCCGAAAAATGTGGTTCGTACCCTGAACGTGGTCGCGGGTGGGCCGCGGTCTCTCCACCTAGAACGAATGCAAAAGATGCCCGCCGCCGGCGCAGAAAAATGTGGTTTGTACCCTGAACGTGGTTTGGGTCGCCGGTTGGTCGCGAGTTGGTCGCGGGGTGGGTCGCGGGCTCTCCACCTGGAAGGAATGCAAAAAAGCCCGCCGCAGGCGCCGAAAATGTTGGTTTGTACCTTGAACGTGGTTAGGGTCGAAAGTGGGTCGCGGGTGGGTCGCGGGGTGGGTCGCGGGCGGGTCGCGGGTGGGTCGCGGGTGGGTCGCGGGTGGGTCGCGCGTGGGTCGCGGGGTGGGCGGGGGGTCGCGGGGTGGGTCGCGGGTGGGTCGCGGGTGGGTCGCGGGTGGGTCGCGGGGTGGGTCGCGGGGTGGGTCGCGGGTGGGTCGCGGGGTGGGTCGCGGGGTCGCGGGGTGGGTCGCGGGGTGGGTCGCGGGTGGGTCGCGGGTGGGTCGCGGGTGGGTCGCGGGGTGGGTCGCGGGGTGGGTCGCGGGTGGGTCGCGGGGCGGGTTGCGGGTGGGACGACGACAACAAACAACAACAACAAACAACAACAAACAACAACAACAACAACAACAACAACAACAACAACAACAACAACAACAACAACAACAACAACAACAACAACAACAACAACAACCAACAACCAACAACAACAACAACAACAACACGAATCCGGACCGCGGAATCCCACTTCAGCCACGCACCCAGGGACAGTGAATGACTGTTCGGCCCCCTCACTCTGACTTTTCTGTTTCTTTTCCCCCGAAGAGACGTCCCGAGAGTGGCGTGCCCCCCCCTCCGCGTGTTGTTTTTTTCTACACAGGGTTGGTCAGAATTGTTTGTCGTATGTGCGTTTCCATTCCGCGCATGCCGGCAAATTAGCCATTCGGTTGCCCCGAGTTGCCACACGCTGGAGCGGACCGCCTCTGCCTCGCCGCCGACGGAAAACAGCAATTTCCATGTGAGCGTTTTTCCCCCTCCCCGGCGTAACGCTCTTTACCCGTACCAGCCCCCCCCCCCTCCCGGGTGACGCTAACGATCGTGCTGGCGGAGGGGGAGGGCTGGACCCTCCCTACATGTTGGGAGCCTCACAGGCATGGCGTGGTTTGAACGGCACGCATTTGTGCTCACATACGTGGCGCTCGCAGTCGTCGTCGTCGTCGTCGTCGTCGTCGTCGTCGTTGTTGTCGCCGTCGTTGTCGTCGTTGTCGTCGTTGTCGTAATCGTCCACTGCAGCTGGCGATGGCTCAGCTGCTGCAGGCTGTTCTGGCCACTCTTCCGCAAGTGGAAGATGCGGGGTCTCTCTCTCTCTCTCTGTCTCTCTTCCTCTTGGCTGGTGATCGGTTGCAGTGCGATACAGGCAAAGCGCCTACTAAAGACGCGCTCCTTCCCCAGGGTACCCTTGTGTCCTTGCCTCTGCGGCCAGTTGTTTGCCGCTTTCATTGGCCAGCTTTGGCCATACAATCCCAACTCCCGCTTCAAAGGGTCTTGCTTCCTGACAACCCGTCCTTAATGCGCACATGTATTGGAGACCCAACGCCATGCAGAAGAGGAGCGCTGGGCGGCCCCGCGCCTTCTCCCGCAGACGCTGTGGTGTGCGCAAGCGCTGTGGTTCACGCAGACAGCGTGGTGCGCACTGGCGCTGTGTCGAACACGGCTGCTGCGGTGTACATAGGAGCTGTGGTGTACGCAAGCGATGTGGTGCACGCAGGCACTGTGGTGCACACCGACGCTGTGTTGCACGCGGCTGCTGTGGTGCACGCAGGCGTTGTCGTGTACGCAGGCGTTCCGGTTTCCATAGCGAGTCCTTTTTCAAAATTCTGTGTAAAACGTGGTGTTTGTGGAATCCAGAGGCGCTCCGTTGTCCATGAGGCTTCCTATAATAATCATGTTATAAGCCATGTTTTGTTGTCTGGAGGATCTTATTACAAACGACGGCTACGGCAGTATACACAGGCACTGCGGTGTGCATAGGCGACGTGGTGCTGCAGTGCACGCGGCCGTTGTGGTGTACAGACGCACTGTGGTGTGTACGCAGGTGGCGCTGTATTGCACGCGGGCATGGGGCATGGTCGTGTGCACAGGGAGCGCGGTGCACACAGGCGATTGATGCGGTGGTGGCGCGGACGCACCCTGGCGGGCGCACGCCGCGGCCGCTGTTGCCGTTACCCTCCCGCCGAAGACCCCCTCCAGTAACGGCCGTTGCCCGGGAAAGAAAAGAAACGGTCACCATTCCGTTGCAGCGTGGGCCTCATTTTAGGAGGGGCGTTTTGCTCTTGCCGTTCACACTGGCGCTCCAACGCGGGTGGATCCGGGACTTTCTTGATCTCGTTTGCACCCCTCTCCCTCGCCCTGCTTCGCCTTCCCCTGGTCCGTCTTCCCCTCCCGCTCCTTCAGCTGCTGTTGCTGCTGTTCGTCCTCGTCCCCCCTTCTGCTCATCCACCAACCCCTCCAATGCGCGCAGCTCTCCTGTTCCGATTGTTCATGACATGGTGGGCTCCTTTTCGGAGTTCCAGATCCGCTATGACACGCGTCGGGAGATAGAGGACAAATCAGAGCGATGGGAAGGTGGGAGGGGTAGGAAGTGGGATATGGCGCGACCGCACCTAGGTTGCATTCCTCCCCTCTGGCCCCCCCTTCCTCCTTCTGCATGGTCCTACAGCTGCAGATCACGGAGTCTGGGCCGAATACAATTTCCGACCTTGGCGCAAGTAGCCCATATGCAGATCTATGACGAGAGGAGGGGGGCATGAGGGGAGCGATTACATTTGACAGCTGCGCTTGACGCCCGGTCAGTGCAGCTGGAAATCTGAACTTCCCGCATGCGGCCCAAGCCTGACCTTCGCATGCCTCAACATTACTTTTCATTATGTGTATTACCTGGCATCGCATTGGAAATCATGCCATAGCAATTCCTACCATTGCACTGTATTGTAAACCGTGGCGAATAGAGCTAGGCGCGGAATTCCAGGGCACAGCATTGCATTCCGCACCATGGCATTACGATTGCGAATGCCATCATATGCGATTGCTATAGCATAGCTTTACATAACATGCCCAAGTCCATACCAGCACATCCCTCAACGCATATGTCATAACATCGCATTGCCTAGCGCGGAGCGACATGTCAGTACATATGATATCCTGTGAGAGCATTGATTTCCGTAGTATACAGTGCACGACATGTTTGAGCGTAGCATTGCAGCGTTTAGCAGAACAGTGCACAACATATCATGACATAGTGTGGCGCTGCATCAAGCACTGTAGCCTGAAAGCAATATTATGAAGTCGGCCGTACGGCCTTTTTAGAGCCATCAGACACCCGTTTTTTTTTCTTGGCCGTTGTTTGGGGGGATTGTCATAGGTTGTGTGTTGACAATTTTGACCATCTATGGTCATGTAGGAACACGCGCACGGCACACGTAATATGTATGTTGTGTGCACAATGTTGCGAAGTTGTTTGAAACTTACGCGAGTCCAGATAACATAAAACCATTATTATCAAAGCAACAAGATTTGGTCGATACAGCTTGCACACGTTATCTTCTGATAGTTCTTGGAAAGCAGAAGGTCAGCACACATATGTGTTGTAATGGTTATGGCTTAGCTGATTCCCCAGAAGGCTGAATCCACTGAACTCGATGTCGTGTCGTCGGTGGAGCGTCTGGCAGATGCTATTTTTCCTTCTCATCCTTCCGCTCGTCTCCACACTCACCCTCATGCCCACCGTTTCCAGGTCCTACTCACTTCCCCTACTTCATCCACACCCTTTCCCCCACTCATTCCTACTCCACGTCTCTCTATTCCACTGCCCCTCATTGCGTGGCGTTTCTCTCATTTTCCAAGGGGCACGAGAGGGGGGGAACGGAAATGGGGGAACAACGAGGGGAGAGAATCGGAGATAGGTGAGGAGAGGGGTGACAGGGAACAGAGAGGACAGGATAGACACAGAGGGCAGAGGACAGAGAACAGGGGACATGGTGCAGGAAAGGACAAGGGACCAGAGAGGACAGATACAGGAAATATTAGGAAAGGGAAGCTATAGGAAAGGAGATCTTACAGCAGAGGAAAAGACAGGACACGGAGAAGGACGAGAACCTCTACCCGTAAGAAGGATACGCAGGATAACATTGACTCTGGCCCGGGCCGCTTGGATCGCAATCCAACCGTTATTTGGATCGTTTTCTCACACAGGGAGGAGAGATACGAGTAAAGGAGAGGAGATCAGAGGAAATGAAACAAGGTAGAAATGAGAAAAACAAATAGAGGAGAACTTGGACTTTGGGAGAGGGAGCAGAGGAGGAATCGGACCCAGGCCCCGCCCCTGGGCGGACCTCGGGTGCAGCCAGCCTGGGACAATTGGATCGCGACCTATCTTGTCTGGTTGGATCGCGTCCCAGTCGATCTGGTTAGATCTGTCCATGTGCTGCTCACACTGCCCCCCCCCGCGGCGACCGCCAGTACGCGGACGGGGGCTCGCTGTTCTCCGTGATGCGAAAACGGCAGCGCACCTCCGCCCGAGCCTTCGCATCCCAGGCGGTTGCTCTCGCCAGAAAAGAACATGTACCTTCCGAGGTCCGCGCGGGTTCTCCTCGGATCGGCTCCGGGCGATCGGCCGGGCAGTGCAGGGCCCGATGACGTGCCACCCGAGGGGTGTGAGATTGCCGGCCGCCTTGGGACGGTCCCCGACGGTGGAAGCTGTTATTGCGAAGGCCTGACGGCCGGTGCCGCCGACGCTGAAGAGGACCACGACGTCGGCGACGAAGCGGGCGGAGACGGAGGCCGTGGAAGATGATGAGGAGGATGAGGCGAGGAGGAGGGAGAGGAGGAGGAGGAGGAGGAGGAGGATGAGGAGGAGGAGGAGGAAGAGGAGGACGGAGGAGGGAGGAGGAGGAGGAGGAGGCGAGGAGAGGAGGAGGAGGAGGAGGAGGAGGAGGAGGAGGAGGGGAGGAGGAGGAGGAGGAGGGAGGAGGAGGAGGAGGAGGAGGAGAAGAGGAGGAGGAGAAGGAGGAGGAGAGGAGGAGGAGGAGGGAGAGGTGGAGGAGGAGGAGGAGGAGGAGGAAGGGAGAGGAGGAGGGCGGAGGAGGAGGAGGAGGAGAGGAAGAGAAAGAAGAATAATCAGAAGAAGAAGACGAAGACGAAGAAGAGGAGGAGGAGGAGGAGGAGGAAGGAGGAGGAGGAGGAGGGAGGAGGAGGAGGAGGGAGGAGGAGCGTGGATATGGAGGTTTGAGCGAGGAGGAGGAAGAGGAGGAGGATGATGATGAGGAGGAGGAGGAGGAAGAGGGCGGAGGAGGAGGAGGAAGAGGAGGGAGGAGGAGGAGGAGGAGGAGGAGGATGGAGGGAGGAGGAGGAGGAGGAGGAAGAGAGGAGGAGGAGGAGGAGGAGGAGGAGGAGGAGGAGGAGGAGGAGGAGGAGGAGGGAGGAGGAGGAGAGGAGGAGGAGAGCGGAGGAGGAGAAGGAGGAGGAGGAGGAGGAAGAAGAGAAGAAGGAGACGAAGACGAAGACGAGGAGGAGGAGGAGGAGAGGAGGAGGAGGGAGGAGGAGCGTGGAGGATGTTGGATAGAGAAGGAGGAGGAGGGGGAGGAGGAGGGTAGAGGAGGAGGAGGAGGAGGAGGAGGAGGAGGAGGAGGAGGAGGAGGAGGAAGAGAGAAGGTGGAGGAGGAGGAGGGGAGGAGGAGTTGGAAAGGGGTGTGGCGGGAGAAGGAGGAGTTGGAGGAGGAGGAAGAGGAGGAGCAGGAGGGTGGCCGAAGAGAGGGCTCTTGCTGCGCCATGAAGTCTCGATCGTCGAGCCTGGGGTTCGGAGTCCGCAGAGTGTGCAGGGAGGAGGAGGAGGAGGAGGAGGAGGAGGAGGAGGTGGAGGAGGAGGAGGAGGAGGAGGAGGAGGAGGAGAAGGAGGAGGAGGAGGAGGAGGAGGAGGAGGAGGAGGAGGAGGAGGGCGACTTGTTCTACATGTTTAGTCGTTCGTCATTTTCGGCCTCAGGGGGCCATTTTGGGGACCGGGGAGTCTCGAAACCGGACCGGTTGTGAAGAATTGAACCGACCTTAAGACGCCGGAGGTTTGGGCTTCCCGAGCGCCCTGATTGTCCGTCGGTGGGCGGCGGCGGAGCCCCGCCTCGCCGCCTTTCGCAGCCGTCGCAGCCCTTCGGAAGCGAAAAGGCGAGACAGCCAAAAACATTGGATGTCCTTCGGTTTCGGGCTGTTTTCGTCGGTTTCTCTGGGGCATCTGTAGACGGCTCGGAAGATTCCTGTCGGCGAGGGCTTTTTTTTGGCATCATGTGGGAGAGTTTTGGACGGCTGGGGGTATTTTGAAAGGCTCGTGGCATAATCTTGGGGATGTCTGTGAGCTTCCGAAGCCGCGCAGGGTTCGGAACCGCGCGGGGAGTGAAAGCGTATTCGGGTGGCGACCCCCCCCCGCGGGACCCCCGACCACCCTCGAGCGCCAAGAGTGTGGCACCGAGGACAAAACGAGCGCAGCTCTAACATCTTGGGTTAAAGGGCGTGAAGTGTCACGAGTTGGCACCTCTGGGCTTAAGGCGCGGCCCCGCTACCATGTAGGATTGTATACATATGATGTTTTGAGCGAAACAAAAATAGGAGGAGGCGGAGGAGGAAGAGAGGGAGGGGATGACCAAGAGGAGGATACCAGGGAAGAGTGATAAGATGATGATGATGGTTGTGATGATGACGAGGAGGAAGAAGAGGAACGAGTGAGAAGGAAAGAAGGGAGGAGCAGGATTGGTGAGCGGGGACTAACATAGGCGTTTCCCAAAAGGCAGGGGGGCGGTGATTCGCCGTAGGCGTCGTCGATATCAAGGACTATGAAATTTCGCATGTCCAGTGAAACCGTCGTCTGTATCCCAGACAGCGTGAAGACAGTCACCTGCTAAGAAATGAATGAGAATGAGTGAAGTAGGTACTGGGTATATCATTATGATGGCATCATGCGATGTTCATGTGATGCCCTTGTTAGTGTGACGTTAATGTGATGTTGATGTTGATGTTGATGTTGTTGTTGTTGATGTTGATGTTGATGTTGAGGTGAGTGTGATGGCAATACAGGTGTGATTGTGTAGTATGATTTCTCCGCGAATCGCCCAAACAGCGATTTATCAATCGTCGAAGTCGTCAAATGCATCAACCAACCATTTGAAGACAACCATGTACGGCGTGTTGTGTTTATGGCAACTCAAAGCTATATATTTCATGACTCTCTGTAAATCCTCTGGGGCATAATTCCATGTGTATGTCGGATTGATCAGGGAGCAAGCCTGCACCTCGCACATGTGTTGAAATGCATGGCACTATGCTGTCATCTTCCACATGCGTTTGTTATTTAACAACGCCTCGTCTGCAAGATTTGTGTAAATCGATTCCAACAACTCGGACAACTTGTTGATTTCTCGTTTCGCTTCGGCTTCTCGTTTTGCTTCGGCTGCTCAGCTGCCTCGGCTGCTCGTCGATAATCTCGTAGACGCGGCTGAGCAAATGGCATATCGCATGACGACGGTTATCGTGCAAATCTCCACTGTTGTGAACACGGGTAATATGGGCTGCATACTTAGATAGATGCCTTGTAGCTGCACCTTTTGCTTTGAGCTTGGGCCAGTCGTTTGACGTCTTGAGCCGCTCGTATGCGAGCTTCCCCTGGATGTGCGAATCGGTGCGATGGTTACTGTATCGTACCAGCTCTTGATGCTTTTCTCGAGACCTTGGGCTTGAAGCTGCTGGTTCCCGCCCCAGTGGCCACGGCCCATGACCTCCACCAGAGCGTCTGCAATGATGTGGGAAGCTATGCTTTGGTCCAGAACGTGGAGACAATCGAGGGCAACGCCTTCCAACCTCAGCGACGTTATTCGAAATAGCGCTGGCAGCGGAGAGCCGCTCTCTCGAAGGTACTCCAGGTACGACTCATAGGATTTCATCGTTCTGCGCCAGCCACGCTTGGTCCAACATAGATCTGAATCCAAGGAATTGGTCGCACTGCACATCCAACACATGTTAGGGCTTGAGTCCCACCTAGGGAAGTTTAGAGCTTAAGTGAAGACTTCCCAGTCCCCACGTAACATCACAACAATTCCCTTGTAGCCGTTGGCACGCAGCGGCGTGCCGTCCCCACGCACCCCGCGCATCAACTGATTCATTCTTTCCGCGAGGTCGGCAAATAGAATCTCGAGGGTGCCCGAATGCATTTCTGACTTCTGAACAACTGTGTAGATGAAGTGAGTTGCCCGTGTGGATCCCTTGCTGAGGAGGCTCGTCCAACTAATCGTAAAGAGGCCATCCGTCTTGTGAGTTGCTGCGCCGTCCCCGTGAATCGTCAGAGGAATTGAATGGGTGTGATCTATGTGCGTCCGACTTGATGCGTATATAACGTGCTCTCTCATTTCCTTCCAAAACTCATTGGCGTCACCTGGCAGGCCGCGAATTTTCTTGTCGAAACCCTCACCGCCTTTCTTGGCGATGCTCTCGAACATGCAGCGGGGGTCTACCACTGGATGCGCCTTCGGCGGATCGCCAGGAACTGCAACGTTGATCCACTGAACTTCAGGGGCCCCAGAAGGCCATCCAAAGGCGCGAAGTAGGTTTCTATGTGCATGTTTGGGGTCGTCGGGAGCGTTGCCCATGCGGCCCAGGCCCCGTGCCCCCTGAGCAGCTGCCCCAGAACTGTACTCCAACACTTTGTTAGCTGGTAGCTTCCCTCTCGCCCAATCCCGTCGCAGAGAATCTGTTAGCGGCGTGGGGTCTGGTCTCGACTCAGCCGTTTGATCATCCACGACCCTCTTCCGAACACCGTTGCCCAACGGTATCGGGGCAGCGCCCGCTTTCAGCATTTCCCCAGCTACCCTATGCCGAACGCCTCCTCGACGAAGTGGCTCCGAGGGCAAAGGGCTCTGAGGTTGATCAGCACTCTCCTCGCGTACTCGGTCACGAATACCACGCTTACCCATTGCCACCAGGCTTGCACAGCAAACAACACGTGCAAACATCCAAAACATCATCACTTTTCAAGTGTATGAGAACATGTATGCAATGAAATGCAGTCGACGCAGAAGCCTGCTCCGAAATTGCGCCAAAACGGCTACTGAGGAGCGGGAGGCGGGGGCTAACACCCTCATACGAAACGGATGACCGAGCTGCCACTTAGAGCACCAGGAGAGTTGGAACATAATGAAATCCAGTCTTCGCATTTCTTCAAGATGCGACTCGAGCAACTTGAAAAGTTACCGGCCCCGTCCGCGACTCGAGCCGAATCCAGCCGCGGCGACGAGGCTTCCCACCCCTGCGACCTCACGACCCTCTTGCTTCAGTACTTGGTCAAGGGTTACTGCCCCACGGTTCTCAGTGAAGCGGAGCTTAGTGTCAGTTTTCTTATGGTAGTCTGGTTTCTTGTGGTAGTCTGGTTTCTTATGGTAGTCTGGTTTCTTATGGTAGTCTGGTTTCTTATGGTAGTCTGGTATCTTATGGTAGTCTGGTATTCTGTGATATTATGTCGCGTTTCCCCCCCCA